ATGATCTATTATACTGTTTTTGGTCATAGCCAACATAGCACATCTACTTTTAAGTCTCAATTTTTGTCTTAATTAAAAATCTTTATAAATCATCCTTTGTAGTTTCAAAAGTAATTTAAATTACATTTCTTGGGGGTAAAAATCTGTAATACTAGTCTTTGAATAGTAGCCAGTATTTCAATATTACTGTTTTATGATCTTCTTGTGGCTCTGATATATTTGCAGTCAAGAGTAGCCAAATTTGCATGACTAAAGTTGCTGGTTTAGATTACTAAACTCTTAATCAGGATATACATTTGAGATGACATTTCAGAGATCTGTATTGGCATAGTGCCTACGGCATTTGACTGCTAACCAGAAGGCTGGCAGTTCAAACCCACCAGCCACTCCTCGAAAGGAACGCTGGACAATCTACTTCTGTAGTGATACTGCCTTGGAAACCCAAGGAAGGGTCACATGAGTTGTATCCAACTGTACGACAGTGTGTGCGTGCGTATTTTATACAGATTTATATTTTTAAGTAAATATACCATGTAAATTTTATGTAGTTGTCAGTTTCTTGATCTTAAAATATACGGTTTTTTATGTGGTAAAAATATGTAACAAAGCATTTGCCATTTCACCATTTCTACATGTATAATTGAGTGACATTGATTATGCCCATGATGTTGTGCAACTATTGCCACTGTCCATTTCCAAAATTTCCATTGCCTTTAACAGAAACTCTGTGTCCCCTGAACAACAAGGATCCATTTCCCTCCCTCCCACCCGGCTCCGTAGCCACGAATTAATTTTGATCTTTATACATTTGCCTATTGTAGATGTTTCATGTAAGTGGGATCATACAATATTGTCCTTTTGTGACTGACTGACTTCACTCAGCATAACGCTTTCAAGGTTCAAAAGATGACAGATGTTACATACTTTTAGTCTAAACAAATATGAAGATATACTTTGGAAAAGAAATATGTATGAGCAATTAGAGAATAAAATTTATTTCTCGCTGCCTTCAAGTCAATCTGACTCATAGAGACCCCTTCTTGGGCTTCCGAGGCGGTATCACTATGGAAGTAGATTGCCCAGTCTTCCTTCCGAGGAGTGGCTGGTGGGTTTGAACTGCCAGCCCTCTGGTTAGCAGTCAAGTGCTTTAGTCATTAAACCACCAGAGCTCCCAAAATTTATTTAAGGAAGTCAAAATTGAAAAAAAAAAAGCCCATTTGAAGTTTCATAGTATCAGAGTTTAGCTAGGAAAATTAAAATATTATAATGGTAGCCATATTATATATATTATCATTTAAAATAAAATAACAAGTCATTAAATATTGATATCATATTTCACATATGCTTTCTAAGTCCCTTTCTTCCCCTTGTAAAGATCCTTCTTTCCCATTTTTGGTTGTTTTGAGTAATGGAAAGAGATAGGAAGGTTTTATATTTCTAAGCATTTCACTCATAGTTATGTTTTTTTTTTTTCCATTCTAAACCTCTTCCCTTTCATATCTCATATTGCCAAAAAGCAGTCTGTTAAAACTTTGCTGGGCATGGACTAGACTTGGGAGAATGGACTTCTCACCATGATGATAAGATTATTTATATCAGAGGTTTGTTAGGCCTGTGTTGTTGTTGTTAGTTGCCTTATGTATAACAGAGCGAAACGTTGCCCACTCTAGCACTATGTTGGACAGTATGCTGTTACGAACCATGAGGTTTTCACTGGGTCAGTGAAAAAGAGGAAAGCCCTCAATGAAATGGGTTGACATAGTGGCTAGAACAATGACTGAAACATAGCAATGATTGTGAGAATGGCACAGGAGGGAGCAACGTTTCCTTCTGTTATAAATAAGGTCACACTATGAGTTGCAATCATCTTAATGGCACCTAACAACAATTTTCAGAAGTAGATTGTCAGGCCTTTCCTCCTAGTTTGTCTTAATCTGGAAGCTTCACTGAAACCTGTTCACCATAGGTGATCCTGCTAGGGTGTGAAATATCAGTGGCATAGCTTCTAGCATCATAGCAACGGCATGCTACCACAGTACAACAGACTGACAGATGAGTGGTGGTAGTTCTAGAAACACTCCTTAAAATTCATCATAAAGTAATGAATGATTCATCTTGAAGGTAAGGTGAGAAAAGCCTGTGTGTGTGTATACAGAAAAAACAATCAAACTTACTGCCGTTGAGTCCATTCAATTCATAGTGACCCCTCCTTGGGTTTCTGAGGCAGTATTTCTATGGAAGTAGACTGCCCAATCTTCCTTCTGAGGAGTGGCTGGTGGGTTTGAACCACCAGCCGTCTGGTTAGCAGTCAAATGGTGTGTTGGGGTGTGTGTGTGTGTGTGTGCACGCGTGTGCATGCGCGCATATGGGAGGTGTTAAATTATGATCGATTGTCTACCTGTTAAATCCAATTTATTCCAGCACTGCTTAATATACTCACAAGTATGAAAATGGAAAATAAAATTGATTGATTGATTATTATCCAGACTTGTAAAATATTTGATAGTGTTTCAGCATTTAGCAAATTTTAAACAAAGATGTCCTTTGCGCTATAACTTTAAGTTAATATCTTAAACAAAAGTCAGACAAATCTAGCATTCATTGTGTATGTACTTGGTACATAACTGTGTAAATTCTTAGTACACAATATTCCCAACACTTTGCATGTCTACTTGCAATGCCCACGTAAGTACTGTTACTAGCCCCATTTTACAGAGCAGGGAGCTGAGGCACAGACAGGCTGTCACTTCTCCCAGGTCACACAGCTAGTATGTGAACAAGCTGAGACGTGAACCCAGGCAGTCTGATCCCAGAGTCCAAGCTGTTGATCTTTGTTTATAGTCCATCTTCTGCCAAAACAACCCTTTCTGTTTGTTAGATCATGTACATTGCTGAGATGACTTTTTTAATTTTTGAAATTCACTCTAATTTCAAATTTTAAAAAAGGCTTCAAATCAGAGAGCAGTGTTCCAAATTAATCCCAGTGTCCAGTTCTGAAGTCACGTCAGGCAAGTAGAACTTTCCTTCCGAAGTACTGGCGGGCTCATTCATTCCTCCTCTGGTTGCCTTGTGTCTCCTCGCTCAGCAGCTCATCTCAAGACTCTCATTCCCTAAAACAGCTCACAGTTACCGGGTGATTTAAGAATGGATCCAAGTAGGTTAGCAGTTGCCTACAATATTAATAATTCATTTTGGAAAATAACTTCCCCTCACTGGCAGCTGTTTCCTATCTTCTGTTCTTAGCTGACATCCTGTAGAGGGATGGCTGAGGATGGCAGAACGGGGAGATACCAGGAAATGAAATTGTAGAACCCCAGGCTGCAGAGAACAGGATGTTCCCCTGGGCCTGCTAGGAAAATGCTCTTTTGCTTTTCATGAAAACACTGTAATAATTATTTAGCCTAAGATTTGACTTACCCTAGAAGTATTTTACTAGAGGTTTGGTGTATTTGTATTCTTTCTTGTCTTAAAAAGACTTGAATGTAATAAACCAAATCCAAACCATTGTCGTCTGAGTTGATTCTGACTCATAGTGACCCTATAAGAGAGAGCAGAACTACCCTGTAGGGTTTCCAATGCTGTAAATCTTTATGGATACTGACTGCCACATCTTTCTCCTGCAGAGTGGCTGGTGGGTTCAAACTGTCCAATCTCTTGGATAATAGCCAAGCGCTTAACCACTGTGCCACCAGGGCTCCTGTGTAGTAACAGCAGAGATGAAAGGATAGTATGTTTTGGGGATATGTCATCTTCCTTAATATCCATTTGTTACGGTTTAGAGTTTGAGTGCTTAAACTAAAAGTAAATGTTTGAACCCTCAGAAGCATTGTACATTGTTCTAGTAAGAAAGAAAATTACAGTTTTTGTGAAATTGTCTTGATTGGTTTAACTGCTATAGATAATAGACCACAACATTCTTGGACACAAATCTGAATTTTCAGAGAATTATTTCCCATTTGTTTGATTGCACAATACTAATGTTTCACAGGGAACTTGCTGTAAACCGTGTGGTAGTAGCTTTTGAGAAAAAGCTAGCTGGTAAGACATCAGTTACTCTCTAAGATCTCACATGTTTAGGGATGTGGAATACTGTTAGCTTATTTAAGTTATTAATGGCTTGTGTCACCAGTATTCTCTCCATTCCAATAAATGCAGAATAAATTAGGGTACGGTTATCAGTAGGTGTGTGTGTAAACACATAAACATATACTCCAACTCCCAAATCTTAGTTTAATTGTCTTTCATAACCTTTGTGTCCTAGTTTTAAAGAATTCCACATTTCTACAGCTCAGTCTTTACATTATGGCCTGCATATATTCACATTTGGAAAGTTACTCTTGAAAATAGTAAAACAGTTACTTGGATGTTGTGTAGAATATAAATAGAATTTTTTAAAGTATACTTTATAAAAATTTGTGTTTCCTGTGGATATTTTAGGAGCGCTGGTGGCATAGTACCTAAGGCATTTGACTGCTAACCAGATGGCTGGCGGTTCAAACCCACCAGCCATTCCTGGGAAGGAAGATTGAGCAATCTGCTTCTGTGGTGATACTGCCTCGGAAACCCAAGGAGGGGTTGCTATAAGTCGGATCCAACTCTATAGCAGTGAGTTTGTTTTTTTGTTGGTATGGATGTTTTACCACAGCCGTCGAGTTGATTCAAACTCATACCAACCTTTTAGGACAGAGTAGAACTGCCCCAGAGGATTTTCAAGGCTATAATCTGTAGGAAGCAGACTGCCTCCTCTTTCTCCCATGGAAAAGCTGGCGGGTTGGAACTGCTGACCTTTTGGTTAGCATCCAAGTGCTTTAACCACCAGAGTTCCTTCTATGAATATTAGGTTTGGTGTTTTAGATAGTTCTTTTACAATTTCTGTGAGGAAATTAAATTTTTCTTCAAAATGACATTTATTTATAAAAAGCCAAAGCATAAAGTTTTCCTAACTAAGGCCGAATCATATCTATAATAATAAAAATCCCCCCCCTTTTTTTTTTTTGAAGGAGAAAGCAAATAGCTCTTTGGACCTGTTGGTAATGATGGCTTGAGCTGAACACCTCCCGATCTGCAGGGACACCCTCTGCTTGGAAGAACAGAATGCCGAGGAAGCCATGGCAAGTACGTGTTGTATCGTTTTGGCAAAACTCAGGTACCATAGATTCTGACTCCAGGTTCCATGATGCTACCTATGGCTGAAATTTTCAAAGCTTTTCTTTCAAATCAGCAGGTATATACTGAACACTTTTTAAAAATGTTCTTTCCAACTTAGAGGACTATTAGCTGTTTTAATTTCAAAGTGGACAGCATCACACTTCATAATAAGTCTTAGGTGGTATATTTATAATGGATTTCTCATTTAGTATTTGCAGAAATCTGCTCTGTGCTAGGCACTGCACCAGGTACTGTGGTTCCAGTGGTAAACAAGACAAATAATGTCATGAGTGCAGGGCCTTCTACCCTGGGGAAGTTGATCTAGAAATTTTACTGTTCTTTTGTCCATATGCAGAAAAAGACTTTAAGACTTGAAAGTGATAATCCTTGAAAATATAGTTGCAATGTGTAGTCTATATAGTCTAATAATAGTTCATTGTAATTATAAAGAATAGAATATTCATAATTAAATAATTTGATTAATGTTAACCATACCAGTATTTAAAGTTTTGAACACATCTGTACATAATTGCTTTTATATTTTATTTATCTGATTAATTAAGTTTTACAGGAGCCATCAGATTATATATTATGCTGTTTGAAATATTTATATTTCAATTGAATTGTTACTCTAGATGATTGTAGAAAGTACTAGGAAAGATTCAGTAACTATTAATGTCATTCACTTTCACTTTTAAAAAATTGATATCATTCTCACAAGTTGACATTACCAATACTGAATGGTATTATCTTTCAAAGTGAAATAGGTTCTTTATATTCAGTTACTTTATTTTATAAATGGGAATATAAAGGACAGATGAATGGTTTTTCAGCCTAATGTTAATCTCACGTGGAAACAAGAATAGAATTCTTGTGTGAGACTGTGAAAGATTTAACACAGCTCTTTGAAAAAGGTAGGGAAAAGCTTTGTGCCGCAAAAAATTACTTTTGATTCATACTCAGATACTTCATTAACAGAGACAGGAGATTTCCATTATAGTCCTAGTCATGTACCACTCCTGATAGGCTACGTACCTACCTGCATGGCAGCAGGAGGTGGAAAACTGGGATGTTTGTGTCCTGGAATGAGACCTTTCAGAAGCATCCAGTTCTCAGATGTGGGGTCAGAGCCTGCCGGGAGAACTCTGTCCAGCTTTACTGTCATAAAGTCTGCTTCCTCAGGTGGAGAAAAACTGGTAGCAAGGATAGTCCCTAGACTTTGCAGCCTTGACGGGTGTTAGCCAAGGGATCTTCTGAAAGTAGATTATCTTTGGCCACAGGTTCTTAGATGCTTTTTCTTTCATCACATTTGCTTCTGTCTATGTTCACGTTGATTCTTAAAGTTTTATTGGTTTGAGACCATTTATGGCAATATTCTCGATGTTTACCTCTCAAGTAGTTTTTCTAGGTTACCAGTGATCTTTAAAAACATTTACTGTGGATACAAATTTCGGTTGTCAAATTCCACATTTAATTTTTTTTGAGAATTTATTGTGTCCAAATATTTTTACATTTTCACTTTGAAAAATGTCCCATGTATAAAAGGCCAAAATGTCTTTTTAGTTTTTTTTTTTTAAAGTATCCTCTTGGCCATCCTTTCTTTGAATTTGACCCCTTTATTCTTTGCTTCTGCTATTATTTTAGACATTCTGCCATTTTGACAGATTTTGAACTTTGAACTGCTATTACAGGCATGAAATAAGTGTTTTCACCTGGCTAAACAGACTGACTTGAGAGGCAGAAATGAAACTAAGAATCCTAAGAGTCCTAAGAATTCTCAGGATGTATATGAAGACATTTCCAAGAGTTCTCGGGAGGTATATTTTTGCCACCTTAACAATGGTTTATTTTGTTGGTGCTAGATTAAAATTAACATGACCTGTTGTTTTTTGACCCAGCATTGGTGTAAAAAACAAAGTTTTTATTCATGTACCATCTTAACCAAAATAACAAGCTTTTGTGGCTAACTAGGGAAGGAGCCCAGGTGGTGTACTGGTTGAAGTGCTCAGCTGTAACCAAAAGGTCAGCACTTTGACCCCACCAGCCATGGGGGAAAGATGAAACAAGGCTGCTCTGTAAAGATTTAACAACCTTGGAAACCCTGTGGGGCAGTTCTGTTCTACCTTGCAGCATTACTGTGAGTCAGAATTAACTCCATGCTAGTAGGTTTGGAGGGCAACATATGGTTATCTGTTCATCATTTAATCTGAAGCACAAGAGAGCCAAAACATGGAAGTTTTTGAAATTTGATGCAATTATGGCTGTGCTTAACTGTAAAAGTACGGTTTGTTTTTGTTTTAGTATTAAGCATGGAATTTAAAACACTCCACTAACTTTTTATCAGGACTTTGAACTAGTTTGAACCAGTTTAGTCATGGCTGACAAAGCAAAATCGGAACAGACCCAAATTTAGAAAGTTTTCCCCACTTGAGTGGGAAAAATTAAGAATTGAAAAATTGAGTCTCCTGGAGTTGAGAGGCCCGGAAGAGGCAGAGTAAGCCCTTCCAGGAGCCTGATGCAGGAGATTGGATTACTGCCACAACTGTGGAGAGTGACACACATTCAAAGCAGTGCAGTTGCCTTCCATCTTTGAGCTGGGCACCGTTTTTTCTGACTTTGTTGATCAAGAGATTTGGTTACTATGCAATGTGCATGTTGCCTTGTTTTCTAAGAGGGAGATTAAATTTCTAGCTGACCGATATTTTTTCCTGTTCTTGTTATTGTTCAGGTTCAGCCACATTTTGCAAATTTGAATCTGTTCCATTTTCGCTTTGGTGGCCATGACAGAACTGGCAGGAACTGGTTTGAAGCTTTCCCCCCCTTTTTTTAAAAAATAATTTATTACATTGAAGATTTATTTTTTAATCTCTTTAAAAATATAGTAGAACCCCATTCTAGTTTTCTCATGGAACAAGGAAATAATTATCCTAATTTTTAAGGATTTGTAATACTTTAATGACCAAGGTAATTTTCATGACTCAGTATTTTTGCTACTGAAAGCAGTCTCACAGTAGAGCAAGTACAATTGATTGTTCTGTATTGCTCCTCTGTAAATGACTGTTTAGTTTGATGAAATAAGATGTGTTATAATATACTATGGAGATCTATTTTAAAGGTTTATTTTTTTTAGCAAGTATTACTGGAGTCCTGTAAAGCACCGTGTTAAGTAAAAAACAGGCAAACAAACCAATTGCTGTTTGTCATTTCCGATTCACGATGGCACTGTGTGTTGCCAAGTAGAACTGCACTCCATCGGGTTTTCATGGCTGTGACCTTCCAGATGATCACCAGGGCTTTCTTCCAAGGCATTTCTGCGTGGGTTCAAACCACCCAGCTTACATTTAGTAGCCATGCCCTTAACTGTGCCACCCATGGATTCCAGATACTGTGTTAGGCCCTGGGAATCTAGTTTTTATCATGTAAAAACTATGTAAGAACTGCCCCAGATTTTTAGACTGGGATGAAATAAATTTTACTTTCATTAAGTGCTTTTCTATAAAACAACTTTGTTGTGATTATTTCAGTGAGTTTGGAATGATGAATTGATGAAGTATACAAATAGATACGTGGAGATTGGCTCGGCTTAGAAGTACACCCTAAGGATTATGGGTGATTTTAAGAGCTTTTAGAACCGGTTCCACTTCTCATGGAGTGACTACAGCTCCACACTGAGGGATTCCAGCTCCCTCTAGAAAAAGCTTTATGTAGCACATGTTTTTGCCTTAAGGAATAGAAAGGAAACTTTGTTTCCAGCTTGAGATAAATGGCCATGGGAATACTTTAGTCTGTTTCCAATTTTAGGCCCTAAACTATTTATTTTATAATAAAGCAATGTTGTAGCAATATTAAAGAGAACTTGTAAATACCATTCATAAATTTCACCCATAATCTCATATGCAAGTTGAATTTTTTTTATTCTCATCTAGTCTTTGTCTACAGATTTGCATAGATACTTTTCCCATTGTTAGAATTAGATGACAATGTTCAGATTTTTTGTATTTAACAGTATATTGAGTAAATATTTTTCCATATTCCTTATTCTTTTTGATTCTCATTTTTAATGTCAGTGTAACAATAAATTGATTTGATCACTTACTTAACATATTTTTCTACTGAAAGATGAACCAAATATCATGTTCACAGGAATAGATGCATGTAAAGCATACTTTTTTCTTTCATTGTCAAATGGAAGTTTAATTGTGTTTTAATTGCAAAGCTATCCAACTGCTTAGTTGTGCAACTGACCTCTACCCCCTTTTACAGATAAATAGTACAAGGTTCCCCAGATTGATTTTGAGCTTTGTTTGTAGTTGACCTTCAGAGAAGATGATGTCTATCTGCTAAAAGCAATTTTCCTGTCCCAGCCCCATTGCACTTTAATGACAAAAGTTGATGAGTTGGAACCATACCAGAGAAGTTCTTATTCTGCATTTTTACCCTTCCGCTTTTGTTCAATTTGTATGCCTTATCAGCTAATTAAGTTGCTTTAGGAAAAAGAAGAGAGAGAGAGAGTGTGTATGTGATACTAGGAGTCCCTGGCTATTGCAAACAGTTAAATGCTGGGCTACTAGCTGAAAGGCTAGCAATTGGAACCCAGGCAGAGGCACCTGGGAAGGACAGCATTGTCTGTTTCTGAGAGGTCACAGCTATGAAAACCCTATGGAGCTCAGTTTACAATACATGGCATTGCCAGGAGTTAGAATCGACTCGATGGATGGCAACTTTTTTTTTTTTTTTTTTTTTGGTATGATACTAAATAAATAGTATTTCTTCCTCTCCCAAAAAGAATTTTATCTCAAAAGCAGGGCTTTGAACCGGTTTGAAATGTTTCAGTCATAGCCCGTGGAAACAAGGGCAGTGTAGGCATCGCTCAGCAACCATATCTCTTGTGCATCAGCTTTGACCCCAGTAGGAAACAGGCAGCAGTGCCCCGCTCGGCTGTGGAGGCTGGCGCACATTCAAAGTGG